TCAGGTTCCTGAATCTGTGGAGTTGACTTCTGAGTCAGAAGTGCAGGTAGAGAAAACTTTGAAATTAACTCCCAAATCACAACATCAGGAGAGATCTCCAGAGATAATATTAGGGTTAGGACATCAAGTCCCTGAATCTGTAAATCTGAGCTATAAGCAATGGCTGCAAATGGAAGAATCTTTAGAGGTGCCCATGAAGCAAACAAGTCAAGTTATAGGACATGAAGAATATGCAGAGCTCACCTCTGAGGCATGGCCGCACAGGGAGGTATCAACGGGGCTAACAAAATCAAAGAATCAAAGTATGAAATCTCCAGGGACAACCCCAGGACCATTGGATCAAATTGTAGAATTTATGAGGATTAGTCCAGAACCACTGGATCAAGTCACAGAATCTGCAAGTACACAGCTTCATGTTGCTCAGTCTGAAGAGGTAACCCTTGTAGATGTCCCAAAAGTTGTTCAGTCTGAGAAAGTGGCCCCTGGACCACCATTTCAAGTTGTAAAGTCTATGACAATACCAAGTCCAACCCCTCAAGTGGTAGAATATATTGAGGTGACTCCAGAACTGCAGGATGTGAGACCTTCAGAGCTCCCCTCAGGGCCATGGTTACAAGATGTGAAATCTAAGAAATTAATCACAAAACCAAAACACCAGATTGTGGAAACAATGGAGTTGACAGGGTTTCAAATTGTAAAAACTACGTTAATCCCAGGGCTACACCTTCAAATTGTAAAATCTGAGGAATTAGCACCAGGACCAATTCCTCAAGTTGTAGAACTGATAGGAGTAGCCCTAGAATCAGGAATTGAAGCAATAAATTGTGTGAATTTACTTCCAAGGCCACATCTTCAAGAACTAATAGTACCTGTAGAATCAACTCTAAGGCCACATATTCAAGTGAAATCTGAAGAATTAACCTCACAGCAAACATCTCCATTTAAGGAACAGACAATATTAACTCATAAACAAGGACTTCAGGCTGTGAAATCTACAGTGATAAAAATAGAGCCTCCTAAAGTTATGAAATCTGAGGATTTGAATCTAGGACAGGTGTGTCAGAATAGGGACTGTGAGAAGTTAACATCGGAAGAGTTTCAAGTGAGGACTGACTTCTCTAGGTTCCTACAAAGCTCTTCAACCTCACTTATTTCAAGCTCTCTCAAAACAGCATCTGAATTTGGAGGACTTTGGGATTCTGGGATACAGAAAGTATCCAGAGCTTTAGATGTAAAAAACCTTGGGACAGATATTTTGCAGCCTGAAGAGACCTATCTAGACCCTACTATGATGCAATCTTTAACTTTTCCCTTGGGCCTTCATAATCAAAGCTCTGATAAGACAGCTAACATTGTGGAAAACCCACGTCCTGAGATTCCAGGAGTCGATGTCATATCTAAACAGAAAACTAAGAGGAAGCAAATGGAGGAGCTAGAGAACTCACTTCAGAGACATCTGTCACAAAGCTGGAGATCACTATCTAGGACATTCCGCACAGAATCAGGGGTTCAAAAGTCCCTCATCAAGTCTTTCCTGGGCAGACAACACAACATCTGGGAGAGTCATGCCTGGAGGCAGCGACTACCAAGAAAATATCTCTGCAGTATGCTAACGCTGGGGAATGTTTTAGGGACTACTATGGAAAGGAAGTTTTGTTCTCAAACATCTCTAGCAAAAAAAGCCACTGCAGATACCTGTCAGTCTATTCAGAATTTATTTGGGATTCCAGCTGAACTGATGGAAGCTTCCCAGAGACTCCCAGAAAAGGGTCCAGTTACTATTTCTCAGCCTTCAGTGGTCAAAAACTACATTCAGAGACATAGGTCAATGGCCTTGAAAATGTGGACACGTGGCTCCACATCTTCCATAATACAGCAATACTCTGGGATGAGAGTGGGAATAAAGAAAACAAGCTCAAGGTTCAGTGGTATATCCCAAGAAGTCATTCAGCCTATGCCTGTCACATGTGCAGGGGGCCAGCTTCCTGTCCTGGTAAAGTCAGAGTCTTCCATCAGCATATTTTACAACAGAGAAGACCTTGTTCCAGTGGAAGAAAGTGAGAACTCACAGAGTGATTCCCAAACAAGGATTTTGGAGTCCGAACACTCCCTCAAGCCAAATTATCTTCCCCAGAATGACTTCTCAGAACAGCTCCAGTTGCTACAAGATTTGCAGCTAAAAATAGCAGCAAAACTCTTAAGGAGTCAAATACCCCCTGATGTGCCTCCACCTCTAGCTTCAGGTCTAGTCCTAAAGTACCCCATCTGCCTACAGTGTGGCCGATGTTCAGGATTTAACTGCCATCATAAATTACAGACCACTTTGGGGCCTTATCTTCTGATCTATCCACAGCTCCACCTTGTAAGCACTCCTGAAGGCCATGGTGAGATTCGGTTGCACCTTGGCTTTAGGCTGCGAACCAGGAAAAGACCCCAAGTCTCAAAGTATCATGAAAGAGATAGACCCGTCATACGGAGAAGTATGTCACCGTCACAAAGGAAAGCTAAAATCCATACTCAAGCTTCCAAGAGTCCTGCTTCCACAATAGATTTGCAGTCTGGGTCCTCCTGGTCCCCTGCTCCTGTACAAGTCTACCTCAGAAGACAACGCAGCAGCCCTGACCTGGAAGGAAAGACAATAATTAGAGCACCTAGACACTATGAATCCACTCAGGTTCACACCCTATCAGAGAGTGACTCTGAAAGCACTCAGAATGAGGAACGGGCTAAAGTGAGAACCAAAAAGGCCTCTGGTTCAAAATATCCAATGAAGAGAATGACCAAGGCACTTAGAAAACACAGAAAGTTCTACACAAACAGTAGAACCACAATAGAGAGCCCCTCTAGGGAATCACCAGCCCATTTAAGAAGGAAGAGGATTGGAGCAGCTCAGACAAGTACTGCCTCCTTAAAAAGACAACCTAAGAAACCTTCCCAACTCAAGTTCATGCAACTGCTTTTTCAGGGCATAAAGCGGGCATTCCAAACAGCATACAGAGTTTTAGCTTTTGCTGGGCAGAAGCCTGGGGACAGGACAATCCCAGACAATTTGTGGGCAAGCAAAAACTATTATCCAAATCAAAATGCCAGGGACTACTGCTTACCCAGCAATATCAAAAGAGACAGGAGGTCAGCTGACAAGCTAAGGTCAGCAGGCTCAACCGTGAAGCAGGACGACATATTGTGGGAAGGGACAGACCAGTGCAGTTCAGCTCAACCGCCAAGAAGACCTCACTCTTTCCAACCCAGACCTCTTCGACTGCCCAAACCCACAGGTTCCCAAAGTGATATCACTTTCCAAGCTGCCTCAGTGGAGCAGCCTCTGGGAACTGTCCAAAAGGACAGTAGAAGCAGATCAAAGAAAAATGAAATCTCCAGCCAGGAGTCTAAGAACTTGCCCACACCAGGAACCAGAGTTCAGGCCCAAGGAAGAAATCTACCTGGTTCCCCTGTGAAGAGAACCTGGCACCGACACCTTAAAAAGAAACTCACACACGAGGAGCAAAACCACCCCAGCTTCTATAGGGAGAGAACCCCACCCAGTCCTTCTGAGAGAACCGGTCATAACCGCTCTTGGAGAAACCATCACAGTCCCTCTGAGAGGAGCCATTGCAGTCCCTCTTGGAGAAATCACCGCAGTCCCCTGGAAAGAAGCCATCACAGTCTCTCTGAAAGGGGCCTTCACAGTCCCTCTGAGAGAAGCCACTGTAGTCCCTCTCAGATAAATCATCGCAGTTCCTCTGAGGGGAGCCACCACAGTCCCTTGGAGAGGAGCCGTCACAGTCCTTCAGATAGAAGATTTCACAGTCCCTCTCGGAGAAATCACAGTCCCCTGGAGAGGAGTCGTCACAGTCTCTCTAAAAGGGGCCGTCTCAGTCCCTCTGAGAGGAGCCATCAGAGTTCCTCTGAGAGAAGCCATCGCAGTCCCTCTCGGAGGAGCCATCATAGTCCCTCTGAGAGGAGCCAACGCAGTCCCTCTGAGAGGAGATGTCACAGGTCCTCTGAGAGGAGCCACCGTAGGATTTCTGAGAGATGCCACAGTTCCTCAGAGAAGAGCCACCGCAGTCCCTTGGAAAGAAGCCGTTACAGTCCCTCTGAGAGGAGAGGACACAGTTCCTCTGGGAAAACATGTCACAGCTCCTCTGAGAGGAGCCACTGCAGTTCCTATGAGAGAGCCCATCACAGTTCCTCTGAGATGCGGCCAGGGAGGCCCTCTGGGAGGAGCCATCGCAGTCCCTCTGGGATGAGGCCAGGGGGGCCTCATGGGAGGAGCCATTGCAGTTCCTGGGAGAGAGTCCATCACAGTCCCTCTGAGATGAGGCCAGGGAGGCCCTCTGGGAGAAGCCATCGCAGTCCCCTGAAGGAGAGACTCAAGCACAGTTCCCCTGGGAAGAGGTCCAGCCCTTTCAATGATGGAACAAGTCTCCTCAGGACCACACACAAAAATTCCAAAGCAGGGCAAGTGTGGAGGCCTGAAGCTACTCACAGAGGCGAGATCCACCCCTGTTATTCATTGTCTCCCTCAAGTCTTCACCGTGCTGCCCTTTCCAGCCTTCTTTCCTGCTCAGCCATTGCCTCCAGTTCCTGCGCCCCCAGCGTGGAAAGGCTTCCATGTCTGTCTACTGGGGGTGGCCTGTGAGATTCATCTGTAATTTCTCTAATAAAGCGGCAGTAACTGATCTCCCTGTGCATCTAGACTGAGGCCACTGGGCGGCTAGGTGGGGAAGGGAGGGTGGTGGGACACGAGGAGTTGTGCAAAGGTTCGGAATGAGAGCAGGGGTTTTAAGGCCGGGCAGGGGCTCCAAGCTCCGCCCCTTTATTGCAGACCCCACCCATTCGTTCCCAGATCCCTTGTCGCGATCCCAGTGGGGCGGGGTCTCAGAGGAATCGGAGGGTTACTTGTCACGTGACTCGCTCCGGCCGCAGCCCCCTCGGAAGCTGCTAGGCGGAAGTAGACGTTCAGAAGAGGGCTAGGGCGGGGCCGAGCCCACATCCGGGAGAGGCGAGGAGAGCGGAAGTGGCGTTGGTCTGGCCGGAGTCCTTTGGTGAAATTGTTAGGCGTGGAGAGGGAGTGATGTCTTCCAGACTCGGTGCTGTACCCGTGAGTTTCTTGGTTTGACCGTCATGCTTTAGAGGTAGCGCTGTCGAGCCCAGAACACGCAGTCTCTCGCTTTTGTCCCATGCTCAGAGTTGGTTTTGTCAGAGGCCATCGTAGGCCCCACCCTTCTAGATCAGATCACCTGTCCCCTTTTTCTTTACACGTTCTGCTGCTGGTTCCCCACCTCCTTGGATTTAATTCCTCGCCACATTGCCATTAGTTTCTATTCCTTTACATCCCCAGTGTCTCTCATACCCGTAGTCTTTTCTTTTGGCCTCCCTTTTAGAGCCTGGGACAGGGCTTTGAGAATGGGGAAGACGAAGGCTCTGGTATTGTTACCCGCCTTTGCACTGCTGGAAGATAGGACAGCACATTTTTCCTAAAAAGTGTTGCCTTCTTCAGTTTGAGGTGGTTGCCCCGGGAGAGCTTCCTTTCTTCTGGGCATAGGGGAATTCGTCTTTTTGTGGTCGAGGTTCAGAGGTCCCTAGCACTCACTCGTGTGCTTGTGATTTGCTAGACTTCGGGACCCACAACCTTTAAACAGCAGAGGAGCACGAGGATCGTGGGAGCTAAGAAGTAAGTGAGGTTTTCTCAGGTCCTTTTATGATTGTGTCGCCAGCGCTGTCCAGTAGAACTTCTTCCTGTGATGAAAATGTTCTGTACCTGCATTGTCCAGTATCATAGCCACTAGCCCTGTGTGGATTTTGAGCCGTTGAAATGTGGCTAGTGCAACTGAGGGACTGAATTTTAAATTTTATTTGCTAAGTAAGAGGGTTTTCTAAGGTTCTTTCATGATTGTGTGGCCAGCGCTACCCAGTAGAACTTGTGACAAAAATGTTCTGTATCTGCACTGTCTAGTATCATAGCCAATAGCCCCATATGGCTTTTGAGCACTAGAAATGTGGCTAGTGTGACTGAGAAATTGAATTTTAAATTTTATTTTATTTTAACTAGCCACCTGTAGCTAGTGACTATTGCATTGGACAGTGTACCTATAAGCCTAATGTGTGGGAGCGAAAGCTAGCTTGCAAAAAAAGAGTACAAATTATAACAAAAATGGAACCAATGACTTAGTGGTAATCCTGTATTTCTCCAGACATCACATTCGTGCTCATAAATACGTTGATTAACTTGGGATGGGTGATAAAAATGGCTGGATCCTTGTATTTTTAAACTACTTGGCTGTAAGACTGGTTTATTATTTAGGACACTGAAGGTACTTAGTTTTTCCATGGTTAATACAAAAGAAAACATTCTTGTTAACTAGACATTAAATGGATTCATTCAGGTGACATTTATGAAATGTCTGCTGTGTGTGCCAGTTCTGTAGTAGGTTAGGTGTACAGGCATGAAAAAAACTAGCAGTCTAGAAGGGGAGATAGGCAAGTAGATCAACACAGTTCGTTGCAATAATTATTGTAAGCATTTTTAAACGGGAATTTAATGTAGCCTTTGGGGAAGCGGAGTGATAGTTAGGAAGGGAGGGATTATCAGAGCAGGTCACTCCTAAGGAGAGACTTGAAAGTTGAGGAATCATGCAGTTAGCGAGAAGGAGAAAGGTTTTTCAGAAGAGAGAACAGTATGTGAATGTGTGGAAGAAGTTAATGGATAGCAAGTAGTTCTGTGTGACTTGGGTGGAGGATGAGGGATTGCAGGGAGAGCGTTTAGAGAGGTTAGTAGGGGCTAGACCATGAAGGACCTTTTATGATGGCATGCTAAAGTGTTTGGATTTTATCCTGGAAGGGATGAGGGAATGACATAGCCAGATGCTGGTCTTAGAAAGGCCACTCTGGCAGCATTATGAAGGATGGATTTGGAATGGTACTGGGAAACTGGTTCAGAGGTTATTATAATAACCTCAGAGATGGATGAAGAACATGTGCAGCCTGTGGTGGGAACAATATATAGGGAATACACAGGGAACAACGTATAGGGAATGTACAGGTTGTAATGATGAGAAGTAAGAGAAGGAAGGTAGGATGTCTATGGGTTTCTGGCTTTGGCAATGGGAACTAGGTTCTGAATGAGGAGCAACATTTGGAACAAAAACAAATAGGTTTGGACCTCAGATGAAGAGCTGGTCTGAAATACAGAATTGGGAATCATCAGCTTTAAAAAATAATTGGAAACATGATGTTTTCCTCCACAAGCTGAGTATTCATGCGCTCTTCTAGGGAAAGTGGTTAGAGCAGTGTTTCTCAGTATGTACCTTGGTCACCTAGAGATAATTGTTAAAAAATAAGATTGTCAAGCCCCCATCCATTAACCAGATTTGGAATCACTGGGGTTAGGGTGTGGAAATCCTTACTTTAAACTAGCTTCCTATGAGATTGTGGCATTTGAGAGTAGTAGCAAGAAATGAAACCAGAAAAGAGTAGAGAAGGAAATCATGGTGCACACCAGCTTTTAAAGGCTGGGTAAAATTAAATAAGTTTACAAAGGATACCAAGATGAACTAAAGTACTTTTCTGATGAAACCTAAATATTTGCATATAGAAGAATGAGCGAGGGGCTCTTAAAATTTTTTGGTAGATCAGAAAGGAGTTGAAAATAGGCTGTACCTTTTATGTTTGTGATCAGAAGCTGAGAGTTGCCGCACTGGTGACAACAAATTATAAAATAGTTACAATTATGATATTTTGTCACAATAAAGCTTTTTCTTGTTCTATATGTGGAAGAAAAGTTTGAGCTTAATCTGGTTTTTAATAAATAATTAAATACCCTGATGTTGAGAGGTAGATAGTATAAAATACTTGAGAATTGTTTTTGTTGAGTCCTTTAAAAATAAAACATGAGACCTGGAAGGAAGGATTCCCTAACCACCTTGACTTAGCCTCCAACATGTTAATTATGCTGGTCATATGAACTGTTGCCTTTTCAGTATGCCTATGCTTATTCATAAGAGGGTAGATGTGTACTGTATTTCTGAGTCCTACGCTGATAGTAAGAAATTCTACATGGAGAGTTTCCTAAGAGTCATCCCCTGGGGCTTGACTCTTAATGGACTGCTGGTACCATTAAGTCTTTTTTTGTTTTTGGAGACAGAGTTTCTGTCATCCATGCTGGAGTGCAGTGGCATGATCTCGGTTCACTGCAACCTCTGCCTCCCACATTCAAGCAATTCTGCTGCCTCAGCCTCAGGAGTAGCTGGGATTACAGGTGCACACCGCTACTCCTGGCTAACTCACTGTATTTTAGTAGAGACAGAGTTTCACCATGTTGCCCAGGCTGATGTCAAACTCCTGAGCTCAGGCAGTCTGCACACCTCAACCTCCCAAAGTGCTAGGATTACAGGCATGAGCCACCACGTCTGGCCCATCAAGTCTTTCTAGCATTGTTTGCAATGATAGGTTTTGGCTTTAGAGGCCTGCGAATCCATTAAAATTTTAAAATACCTGTATTGAGGTATAGTTAGAGTACAATAGACTGCACATATTTAAAGCATACACTGTGGTCAGCTTTGACCTATGTTTGTACCCCTGAAACCATTGCCACAATCACGATAACAAACATTTTTGTCTCTCCCAAAAGTTTATTCATGTCTCTTTGCCATTTTCTTCCTCTACTCCTGTCTACAGGCACCACTGTACAGTGGTTTGCATATTTCAGGATTTTATATAAATGAAATCACACAGTACGTTCTCATTTTTTTCATGATTTCTTTCACTCAGAATAATGGTTTTAATTGCTAAGTAGATTCCATTATGGATACCATAATTTGTTTAGCCATCTACCTTGATGGATATTTGAGTTATTTTCAATTTTAGGTGTAAGGCTGCTATGAACATTCATGTACAAGTCTTGTGTAGACAAATGCTTTCATTTCTTCAGATAAATATCTAAGGTGGTATTTACCATCATAGGTTGGTTGATTCATATGGCAGGAGTATTTTTCGTTTTTTTAAGAAACTACCTGTTTTCCAAAGTGGTGTTATTTTGCATTCCAACCAGCAATGTATGAGAGTCAGTCTTTTCAATTTTAGCTAATTTAATGGGTGTGTAGTGGTATCTCACTGTGGTTTTGTGGGTTTTTTTTTTTTTTTTTTGGTCTTTTTTTGAGACAGGGTCTCCCTCCATCACCCAGGTTGGAGTGCAGTGGTTTGATCTCAGCTGACTGCAACCTCTGCCTCCCAGGTTCAAGCAATTCTTCTGCCTTAATCTCCTGAGTAGCTGGGATTACAGGTGTGCACCCCCATGGCTAATTTTTGTATTTTTCGTAGAGATGGGCTTTCACCAATGTTGGCCAGGCTGATCTTGAACTTCTGACCTTATGTGATCCTCTCACCTTGGCCTCCCAACATGCTGGGATTATAGGCACGAGCCACCGTGCGTGGCTTAATTGGTGGTTTTTAATTCATCATATATGAATAATAATGTTGAGCATCTGTTTGTATTCTTTTTTTTTCTTTTTTTGCATCTGTTCGTATTCTTATTGGCCATTTCTATTATGTAAGTATCAGTTTACATTTTTATCCATTAAAAAAATTAGGTTTTCGTATTGAATTGTATTTTTAAAAATCTGTTCTGAATATAACTCTTTTGTCTGCTACATTTCCTTCCAGTCTGGTTTGTCTTTCCTTTTCTGAATTGTTTCTTTTGAAGAGCAAAAGGTTTTAATTTACCATCTTTTCCCTTAAGTTTTTTGCTTTTATGTATCATATTTAAGAAACCTTTGCCTCCCCAGAGATTGTAGTGAGTCGAGATTGAGCCACTGCACTCCAGCCTGGGTGACAGAGTGAGATTCTGTCTCAAAAAAAATAATAAAAAAAGAAACTTTTGCCTCCCTAATTGCAAAGATATTCTCTGGTCCTTTCTTCTAGATGTTTGTAGGTTTTATTTATTTATTTATTTATTTATTTATTTTTGAGACGGAGTTTCGCCCTTGTTACCCAGGCTGGAGTGCAATGGCGCAATCTCGGCTCACCGCAACCTCCGCCTCCTGGGTTCAGGCAATTCTCCTGCCTCAGCCTCCTGAGTAGCTGGGATTACAGGCACGCGCCACCATGCCCAGCTAATTTTTTGTATTTTTAGTAGAGACGGGGTTTCACCATGTTGACCAGGATGGTCTCGATCTCTCGACTTCGTGATCCACCCACCTCGGCCTCCCAGAGTGCTGGGATTACAGGCTTGAGCCACCGCGCCCGGCCTGTTTGTAGGTTTTATATTTAGGTCTGTGACTCGTTTAGAATTAATTTTTGTGAATGTTGTATGATAAGGGTCAATGTTGACTTTTTTTTCTATTTGTATACCCAGTTGTTGGAAAGAGTTTTCTTTCTTTCCCTATTGAATTGCCTCGGCACCTTTGTCAAACTTTACTTGGACATGTGTATGTGTAGGTCTGTTCATGGACTCTCCTTATTTTGTTCCATTGATGTTTATTTAGACTCTTGAAATTAGATAGTAAGTCTTCTAACTTTGGTGTTCTTTTTCAAAATTGTTTTGGTTATTCTCAGTTCTTTGCATTTTTATAAAAATTACAGAATTGGATTGCCAACATCTATTAAAAGAAGCTTGTTGAATATTGATTGGTATTATATTGAATCTATAGATTCCTTTGGGGAAAATTGTTATTTTAA